CTTGTTCATTTTTTTCCACTGAACCAAAGTATATGAAACAACAGGAAGGTGAACAGACTGAAATAACTGACTGAAACAAAACACATTGTAAGCATGGAAAGTAGAACAAGAATATTTCCCTACAAACTGAATGAAGTGGTTAATTCAAAATTCCACAAAGGTTACCAAATATGACAGGCACCTGAAGGAGGTCAGAGGGTACAATAACCTAGATAGTCTGAGTCGAACAACCAAGATGAGTAGAAGAATAAAAATAGAAAGGCATATACAGTGTAACCCGGATATAAGAGAGATTTTCTCTGGTCACAAATTAGAGCCTGTGTTAATGTAAACAAAATAGACCAAACCCGGATATAAGAGACTTCTCCAGTCCGACAACTCTCTTATATCCGGATTACACTGTATATATATATATATATATATATATATATATATATATATATATATATATATATATATATATACAGTGTAACCTGGATATAAGAGAAATCCGGATATAAGAGAGATTTTTCTCTGGTCCCAAATTAGAGCCTGTGTTAATGTATACAAAATAGATAGACCCGAAACCCGGATATAAGAGACTTCTTCTCCAGTCCCGACAACTCTCTTATATCCAGGTTACACTGTAATGATAATTCCGACATGAATGCATTTTATCTCTGTGTATGGTTTATTGGAGGTGTGACATGATCAGTTTTCAGTTTTTATAATGACCAGGATGAAATATCATTAAGTGTTTAAAAAGTGTGTTAGGAGTAAAAATTGGGAGAAAAGTCATGGAAAAAATAGTCATAATTTTAGCTTTTGGCCAAAATAATAACAGAAAAAAATAATATATTCATTTATTTAATTTATGATAATAAAATAAGGCCTGAAAATGGATTGGCTGCTATGCTTACATCTTTAATGGATTTCAGCAGTCACAACATGATGAATAAAAGAAGATTTTTAATAAAGCAAATGATAAAAGTCACATTTAATTTATAATAAAATAAAATTTTTTATCAACCTAATCAGACGTTTTTCAACATTTGTCATTTATTTTATTAAAGTATTACTCATTTTATTATTATAAATTAAATGCCACATTTTATTTATTACTATAAATTAAATAAAATATTTATTTTCTGACTTTCTCCTGATCAAAAACTGAAGTTGTGAATTTTTTTCCTTGCAACAGAAATAATTCTGCTTGCTGAAAACTGAACATTATGGTTATAGTATTTCACATTTCTTAGATAAAACAGTGCTGATTATTATTAATTTTCAGTCAGTATTTTTTTTCATCTTATTTCTTTTGCTTTTTATTGTCATTCTGTGATTGTTGAGTAATAAGTCTCTGGCAAGATTAGAACTTGCATCTTTTATCCTTTGCAAACTAGTAGCAAATGTGGATGACTCCTATTGGTTGGCCTTATAGTCTAAGCAGATTTATCATAAAAAGCAGACTCATGAGGTTAAGATCTATGAATTAAAATCTCAGCAGAAATAGAATTTTGATCTTTACTGATTACTTATCATAGAAAGACAATACCATAAAAAGCAGTAAAAATATGATGAAAGATGTTATGGTAATTTACCCACACATGCATGAACTCTCCCAGCTATAAATAGGAGAAGGTACTACCTTTTGGAGAGGGAAGTTTCCAGCAGTCAGCTTTGACAATCAGACCGTACATCCTTGCTGCAACACTCTTGTTTGTATATGTTTGTATTACTGTTTCTGTTAATATATTTGTTTAATTCAATTCCTCTCTTGTGTCTTTATTTCTGTCTCTAACAAGGCCACAACAAAAGATTTTAGTGAAAATATAACAATCTCACATATAATACAACTCCCGTGATTTCAGTTTTTGATTCTGCCACAAAATATCTCAAATTGGTTACCATAACTACAGTATGTATTTTTATATAATAGTAATTCATTTCATCATTTTGTAAGTTGACTTCATTGAAAATAATCACTAAAACCAAGACATTCTGCCTGAATAAACTGTCTTTTAGATGATGACTTGAATAAAACTGTTGATGAAATGGAATAAGCCTATTTGACTAAAATAGTGAAGCAATCTCATCACAATATTTTGACAAGTACAACTCAGGCCTCACTGAACAATCAGATCAACATAATTGAACTATAGTTACTACTTTATCTACCGTGAATTGTAATTAGGTTGAATATAATTCATTGCTTGTTGAACTTGAACCTAGCATAACAATAAACAAGGTTATCCTATTTAAATTACTAGTTGTTTTTCTTAGAATTTATTCTTTACATTGTAATTGTTAGCATTGTATATGTGTTTATCAATTCCATTGTTTTATTCAAGTTGTTGCCTTCCTCCATTAAAATCTTATGCAAGTGAAAAAAATGTAACTAAAAATAAATTAAAAACTATTAAAAAGGGTCTGCATTTAAAAGCCTAAAAAATAAATAAAATAAAAATACAATACATTTTAAACTACTACCTACTAATTAATACTAACAAAATTTGTATTAAACAATAATAGTTGCAACAACATACACACAATAAAAAAAAAGATATCCCCTTGGTAAAGAATTCTAAGTTTTTGAATGAAAGAATACTGCGATTAAAAAGACTTCCTGGTTTTGTAAACTCATTTTTATTCATTGAAATTTGGAAGTTACTTAGGTTGAGTATTCACTCCGTAGTGTCACTGTCATATTTAAAATTATTTAGGACCATGAAAATGTGGTTAATTAAGTGGCAAAATAAAAAAAAAATCCTATGTTACAAGTTTCAGCCTTCTAACAAATAAACTTTTTATTGATGGAGTCATATGGAAAGAAAATATAAACAAACATTAAGTTTTATAAACATCAAGAGAAACACTGAAGAATAAGATGCAGGGCTGCTTAATTTTAACTTTTTAATTTCTGGCATCTAATGTCTTCAGACTCTAACTAGCTAGAGGCACAGCCTAACTTCATTCAGCTTCTTACAGCCTCTGTTTTCATCACTGTTGTTTTTAAATATTCATCCCCTATATGATTCCATCAATAAAAACATTGTTTAGTCTGAAGAAGTCATTTTAATGGATGAAATGCATTACATGAGATTTTTTCCATTTTTTCATTTAATTACCCACCTTTTGTCTGATATAGTGTTTATTTGTGTATCATATTCTCCCATCTGGTAAAATAATGTAATAAAAAGTTTAATTAGAAAGATATGAAATGAATAAAACCATTATTACTGTAAAAATCAATTTCATGTACTTGTATTTGACAGAACTAATTTTGAACAGTCAGTGGGGATCAGTCTCCTTGCAAGATGTATATAAAGAGAATGAGTCTAGCAAAAAAGATAGTTTTCATTCAAATAAACAGAAACTCAATCAAATTATACTGCTTATGAGAAGATTTGACGTTGGAATTTGGTTTATTACCAACAATAATGAATTCCATTGTTAAATCTGCCTATGAGAATGTCAAAGTATCTGTATTTCTTCCTAAAAACAGAGAAAAAAAATGTAACCACCACTTGAGACAAAAAAGATCACCCAAAATCATGGAATTATGTGATTTAAATTAAATTTTCAGCATGTATTCCTTAATCAATAAATTTTATACTGAATAGGTTATATTATTAAAAAAAACCTTTGTAAAAACAGTTTTTTTAGTTAGTTACATCTCACCACCATTTGATAGATTGTGAAACACATTTAAAATGAGGCTCTGATGAAAAATCTGTTCATCGTTTTTTAAGAAATATCCCTGAAGATATTTCAATAAAAAAAAATAAAAAGACATGTAAAATCAGAATATACTGAAAATTTGTCCTGTAACCTAACAAAAATAATTCAATGAAAACTCTATTTTTGTGAAGAGTTGTTGTTTGCATAATAAAATACATCATTGTCTGAATTTCTGGGCCGAGACGTTATTATTTACAGTTTAACACTATTTACACATGAACTATTTGATATCAACAACAATGAAAATGAGGACAACAGTTTACATGTAAATAAATAGTAAATAACATTATTTCCTTTTAGATTTGACAGAAGAAAATTAAATAATGATTATATCTTTTTGAAAGTATTGTAATTTTTCAGTGCAATTTTTAAATTCTTCCAATTGTTGATGAAAAAAAAAAGAGAAGAGGGATTTAGCGAAATTACTTTTTTTTTTACTTTCACAGATGTTAAATTATATTTTTATACAGAAAATTTAATATAATTTGACTTATGAATTTTGTCAGGTGGAATTTATCTCATTATCTTCAAATATAGTTTTCACTATATTTAAAGCATAAAGTAATTTACTCACAATTTCTATTAATTAATCCTTAATTTTTCTACTTTGAAACAAATCTCTCAGACAGATATATGTTGAATTTTTAAGAGATTTTAAAAATGTAATAAATGTTATCATTTTTCAGTTGAAAAGATGGATTGATAAACTGACTATGACAATGTTTTAAAACCTTACTGAAATACTTCAAATTATTATTTTTAATTTTTTTTTATTATTGGAAATGAGCTTTTGGCTATTATCTTTCAAATAAAACCAACATTTTTTTTTAAAAGAAAGAAAGTTATTTTAAATGCTTTTAAGGTGTGTTAGTCTAAATTTTGATTGTACTTAGTTATTGGAAAAAAAAAGGTGGGGAAAGATTATCATGATTGATAATTGACTCCTAGTAATTTAATTTAGAAAAAATACTTTTAAAGTGTCTGAAAACTTCTAATTTGACATACTGTTTTAAAACAACAAAAAAAAAAAACATATCTAGATTTTTCTTTAAGGCAATTTTAAAATATTTCTTTGAAAAATGTTCATATTTTATTATTTTAAGAGTTTCTTGAGCATGTAAAAGTTTTCAACAATTGGCCATATATATATCTTGATTCTTGCTTCTTTTTCAGTATTACCAAAAAAAAAAAAAATTGTGATGAACAGTTCATTCATGAAAAAATAAAAATAAATAAAAAGTTTACAGGGGAAAAAAAAAAGATGTTTTTTTTAGACTTACTTCTGAGTTCCAGGTGCTAAAGAATTGTTAGCATTGTTCTTTTTCATACTAGGCCCTGATATTCTACCCCTTGGGTCAATATCCAACCCTCGTTCACCTAAATAAGCCAGCTTTGTTCAGTGGTAATTTAAACCAACTGGACAGTTCTTGATGGTAAGTTAAAAAGAAAAAGTTATGTGTATCTATGCAGTGACACCGTGGCAAACACTTGTTGATTGGTGGAATGTGAGGCGAGGGGATAGTGCTAGTCATTGTAAATAGTTTTAACACAGAGCATTACTGGAAAAGTTATTATAGTATCCCATGTGTTATTTATTTACTGTTCTGAGAGGATACGAAAGATCTTAGTGTTAAGGCAAAATGAGAACATCTGCCACATAAAAAAAAAAAAAAAAGAATTTTAGTGGAAGTTTCTTGAATGATTTTTTTGTCAAGTGTAACATGTGCAAATAAAGGTAGGTTTCTAGTTATCAAACACCTACCTGAACGGACTTAGATTTCCAGTACAAATCAAATACATGTTGAAGTGTGTGACATCATGAAAACATGCTAAAAATTCATTGCCTGTCAGTCAAATTTCACAGCATCACAAAATGTTGGGGGGGTGTAAATCAAGCCCCTAGGGCAGTGGTTCTCAACCAGGGTCTACATGGACCCTAGGGGTCCATGTAATATTTCCGGGGGTCCACAGGCAAAACTCAATTGTTGTGTTAATTAAAAATAGTAATAATAATTATTATTATAATTATAGTAGAATATTTTATTTGTATTAAATTAGTTTTCATTTAAAAATAAAACTTAATCGTATACTATTTCTTTGATAATTAAAACCTTAAAATTTATATTAGTGAAGAATAGAAAATTGTTCTTATGTCCAATAGCTATGAAGGGGTCCACCAAGATAAAAAGAAGGGGAAAGGGGTCCATGGGTAAAAAAAGGTTGAGATCCACTGCCCTAGGGTTACAGATCTAACTGATTATTCTATCTATAGTAAAAAAATTTGTTTTGATTTTTTTGCTGTTCATCTAACGTTTGTACTTATTTTCTGTGATGAAACCAACACATAAGACTAAGAGTAAGACTCACAAATGTAAAAATTAAAAAAAAAAAAAAAAAAACTAAAAAGGGATGATAAAGTTTTATTATTTATTTTGAAGTTTAAATGGCAGTAATTTTAGACTAGGTGCTGCCACGGACTTCCTAAAAAAAAATGCACATTTTAAATAAATTTAATGCCTTTCTTGAACTTAAATTTTGGTTTTGTTTGAAAGATAAAAAAAGTAAAACTAATTCAAATTAAAAGAAAAATTAGTTTCTGTATATAAAATTTTAGGCATTTTTACAACATTTGCATGTTTTCTTGTTATTCATTGATTCATCAAACTGCTATTATAGATAAAAAATGTAAACAAACTGCTATTAAAAAAATGTAAACAACAAATTTAAAAATCTCTTAAAAATCCAATATTTTTTCTAGACATGTTTCAAAGTCATTTAGTAAATTTAAGAATTAACTGGATTTTGTAAAAGTAAGGTTTATTTTTTACATAAAACTTAATAAAAATAATATTTATTTAAGCATGGTAGCTTATGGGAGTCATCGGTTAAACAAAAATGTATAATCATACCCCCTTACTTAAAAATACACAAGAAAAAAAAATTAAAGAAATACGAAACACCAGCAGTGCAATAATCAAGACATTGGTATTTATGTTTAATATTATCTTAAACTTATATAACCGATAGATTAGGAAAATATTTTTTCTACTATATGATTTTATGAAACTTATTTTATCTTTTAATTTTTTTTGATTATTATTTTATTTACATTAGAAGTAATTTTATTTTTAGTTAAAAATGATACTTTTGAGTTTAATATATTACTTTTATTTATTTTTTTAATCATTTTTATATGTGTTTGATGTCATAAAATATTTAATTGCGCTCAATGTGTCTTTTTGTAATTATTCAGAATTTAAGAGTTATTGAATTACTCACTTGATAGGGAAAAATAGTCAAAAGGTGATCATTTGGAATTATTTCCTTTTTGAACATCCATACTAAAAATAATTTAACAGTTGTTAAAATGAAAAAAAAATGAAAACTCTTTAAAAAAAGTTTCACACTCAAAAATGGGTTTAAACTTTACATTTTTCAGTTCTTCAAACATGTCTTTATTCAATAAAAAAAGCTCTTCTGATGAACAACAATCAGATAAATTTCAAAATTTCAATGAAAATTTACAAGTAATATTTAAAAAAATAAATATTAAGTACAGATATCTTTCTGTCCAATTTGAATGAAAATAACATGTTTTATTAAATTATGCAAGTACCATCTCTCAGAAAATTTTATTTTTTGAGTTTTATTGAATTATTTTTGGTAAGCTTCAGGATAATTTTTTTGTATGTTTACGCTTTATATTGCATAACTGTTTTTACTGAAATAACATCTTCAAGGATTTTTCTTCATATAACTGTTAAAATATTTGATGAACATCCACAAAATTAAAAATTACATATGAGCTATTAAAATATAAAGGTTTGGTGGGGGGGGTGTAAAAAGACCACTCTAAATATTTCCACAAAGTTTTCTAATAAAATAATCTACTCAGTTGCTATTCATTCATTAATGAATAAGCACTGAAAATTCCATTTAAATCAGATAATTCCCTGATTTTTGGCAAATATTTTAAAACAGAAGTAGCGATATTTTGCTTTAAGTTCAAAAAATAAAAACATTTATTTTGGTGTCTACTTTAGACAAATGATATAGCTCAACTTAAAATTATTTTTATTTACTTATCTAAAACCAAGTTAGACAAAGATAAAGTTAGTAGTCTCTTGTTTAATTTCCAGTGCCAGCAAAATTGACAGAGCTGAAGCCCACTAGCCCCCCCTATAACTCCATGGAAGAATTTAAGGTCCCTTATAATTAACTCTTTCACTACCTTATGTCTCACTTGAATTTATTTATTAAAATGATTACTAGACAACATTTTTTCATTTGTTCTTCCTTGGTGTAAGACTATGGGCTTGTTCAAGTGTTTATCATTCCTGTGATAGTTCACATTTCCATGATGTCATATACATTTTTCAGCATAGACCACATTACTTGTACCAATTTTCATTCTCCCATCTTGTTTATCTCAGTTGGATATAAAGCAAAAATATTTTTATTCACTTATCTATTGATAAAAAGAAAATCTCTGTGTTGGCAATATACAATATGATATTGAAAGGGATGGGACATCATTGTGTGGTGATAAGGGTCTTCATCTGATGTAATCACTTGATGAAAAAAGATATTTATATTTAAAAAAGCCTTTATTCTATTTCAACAAATTTAAAAAATAAATAAAAAGCTGCACATGGTGCATTAAAATTATATAGGGTGTGCCATGTAATTAATAAATTGTATAAAGAAAAGCAACAATATTCAATAGAAAAAGAAATCAGTATTTACATTATTTATAGGTGGAGATTATATATATATATATATATATATATATATGAATGATGAAATATGATAAAGAAGAAATAGTAAACATTTATCAATATAATTTGTTTCACTTTTATTAAAGTTTCAGACTATGGATCAGTTTTTTCCCTTCAACCAGACCATCTTTATCCATCTCTACCTTATAACACACATCTGGCATCTGTTTTCTGACAGTGTGCACCTGCCAGTAGCCAACATGGAACTACTCACATATCTAATTGTGGCTGTTTAAATAAGCCTGTGAACAGATATTGTAACTTCCAACAAAATACCACTTGATCCAAAATTTTCATTTATTTGTCAATTATTTTTTTTTTTTTTTTTTTTGTCAAGTGGATGGCTGCTCTGAAGATCCCATTTCACAGAATTTACTGCTGGTCATAAAAACATAAAACATTTAACACTGATATAAAATCATTTACCATCTTTTTCTATGTGGGTGTCATGCCACATTTGATATGAATCAACCTTTCCTTGCACTGTCTCATTATCTGATGTCACTGGTATGACATGATGCTAACAGAGAAGAGACTGTGAACCCTCCTGTAAACTACTCACCCATAGGTACCTTATCTGCTGAGGTAGGAGCAGTAAAAAATTTATACCTCCGTAGTCAACCTTCTCTGGAATCCAATCCAGTTATGCATCACTTAACTATCTTTTTTTTATCAAAGCTAAGTCACAAGGAATTACTCAAACAAAAAAACAAAAGTAACAAAAAAAACAAAACAAACAAGAACCATTATCTCCCATGTCATGAAAGCACTTGGCACATAGAAGATTATGATCTAATTTTTGTTTGAGTGTATCTGTTATAATAGCAAAAATGCCAACTAGCTTGAAGATTAAAGCAATTTATAGTTTAATTTTCAATTTTGTAGTGTGGTTTTAGTGTTCATGCTCACCCAATTAATCGATATTGCAGTGTTTGCATAGAGAGAGTGAAAACTCACAATCTGACTTCTCAAAATCATTATTCTAATGTTTTGTCATTGAAATGCTGATTTTGATACGTGGATTGAGCCAAGAACATTTATGGTATAATTTTTGTATAATAATTCAATTTTACAATTTGTAATAGAGCAGTTTCCTTTATTTATTTGCAATTCATTTTCTGTATTATATCAATTTTTCTATCTTGTATCATAAAACAGCACAATCAGCATAAAGTAGTGAGATTTTTGTAGCACAATATTGTTAAAAATATTCTAACTTGTCAAATAAAATAATTACCAGTACAATTTGCAACATCATAGTGTAGAACTTATATTTACATTCATCCCTAATGATCCCATTTCTCAAGGTGATTCATAACAGAACTCTTGGCAGAGTCATTAAACAAACTTTTTTGTTTGCAAACAATTATAAATTCTATCAATATGAATGACTTAGCTGCAGAAAAATGGAATTGACAAGACAAATTCAAATTCCAGCCAAGCTGGTGGTGTTTACTTTGCACAAATGCCCTTGGAAAATGCACAGATTGGTCTTTTCTCTCCAGCCTCACAGCCACAAGCTAATTAGCAGGAGACCCCGGATTCTTTA